ACTAAAAATTATAGAGATTACAAAAAAAGATAGAGAGATCACTTTTTCTTATTTATAAGATTTTATGCTTCTTGTCTCTCTTTTACAAGTCTCAACCACACCCTTTTATAGGCAAAGAGTGGACTTCAACTTTAGAATTGAAATGCATAAAATTAAAAGATAACTTTCATGTAGTAAGATAAGAAACTTTTTACATTCTAATTTATTGAAATTACAACTTAGTAGTGGTATCTCCACCACTTTGGTTTTGTTTATTTTAGCATGTGACTCTTTTGTTGTCATTCACCATGTGATCCACTTTGTTGTGTTTCTTTGGATGTATTTGTCATGTGAGCTTTCTTTTTGGCTTCTTCTGTTATGTGAGCTTTACTTGGCTTTATCTCCCATTTGACTTGTCCGAAGGATTCTTACCTTTTCGACTTGATTTATCATGGGAACTTCTGCCTATTTTTCATAAATGCAGAAGTCCATGTCTTGTATTGATTTAATATGAATTTGGGCTCCTTTAAAGTTTTAATGGATTTTTGTAAGTAAATTTAATGTATTATTCTAATAATTTATGCAATTTTTTATTTTTTATTTTTTTGTGATTATATATGTAAGGGCTCAATTTCAAAAGACTTAAAAGTGCAAAATAAGTTAGGGTTGGCCTGTGAAGCAAGAATAGGACTGGGTAAAAAATTTGTAAAATCTGTAATTCGATCTGGTCCAATCCAATCTGGTAGGTTTGGATTGGTTTTTTGAATCCATGGTTTGGTTCTAGATTGAAAAATTAAAAATCCGTAGTCTACGGATTGGTTCCAGATCGAACCCCATGGTTTCGAATTGGAACCGATCCAGACCGTATATAAATAGCCTATATTTATATTATACAATAGTATTTTCTCTTATTCCATATAAAACCTAAATCCAAACCTAAACCTGTGACGCTCCAAATTTCTAGCCCAAATGGTAATACAACAATCATGGCTCTTTTAAGGAAAACCGAATATAAATCTCAGAACTTACATTACATGATACAATCGTTCTTCATGCAACAATACACTAATCTAACAACAAGTAAATAAACAAATAAATACTCCTAATGGTTTACAAGTTTCCAAGGCTTGAGCCTGATTACACGAAACGGTTATTTAAACCCACACACATACAGCCCTTGGCTTACACACAGAGTCACAGGAAAATGAGAGTCTCATACTCTCAACACACATTTCCTCGCCTTTAGTTAGGCGGCATCACCATATATTTTCCTGCACAAAAATCCCGTTGGGTGAGCATAAAGCCCGGTAGGAAATCCTTAACAAAGTATATACATTTTATACAAGTCTCAAGAGATGAAATGCACATGCTATGCTATACCTTTTTTAAAGATAAATCAGATTTTTATCTTTTGAAAACCATCATGCTCAATGATGTCATGCAATTTCAATTGTTCAAAACTTAACAATTTATTTCAAGGACGGTAAATACGACTCTGGTAATCCCTAGGTCAGTGTCTGCAAGTAGACTATACAAGTAGTACCAAATTGTCATTTTTACCGGTATTAACCGGAAGGCTCGACACCTATCCATGCGGGTTGTCGGTCTTTCACTCCGGACTCTCAGGCCAACTTATTCAATATCATCTACACCACCTATCAAGACTTACCAGCGTATTTACCCCAAAACCATTCTATGAAAACTTGTTTCTCAACATTCTTTTCTCAATGCAAGTTTTCAAATCAACTTTCAAAATTTAATGTAATCAAATGAATTGTTTTGCCAATAACACAAGATGAATATAAATACTTTTATTCCAATTCATCATCGAAGGAATAACACAATTTCTTCTTCTCAAGTATCCTCAACAATTAGTCATTTCAAGACTATTTTAATTTGAATGTTGACATAATTTCTATAAAAGAACAACAATTCTCATATTCACTAAAATTCATTATTTATATAAATATAAACAAGAAAATTCAAAACATTCCATTTATTTTGCACAACAAATAATATAACAATATTATTCATGGATTTTCAGTCTCTTTTTAAAAAATCTCCAAATTCTAGGTTTTCTCAGCAAAACTATGCAACTCAAAATCTTTTGAAAAAAAACTTTCCAAAAATCATCTTTTCTTCAATCAATGAAGATCAAAACCCATAAGATCATTTTAAGAAGAAGAAGAGACAACCCACTTTCAAAATCGCTCAACTTCTTGAATCAACAAGTCAATTTTCAAAACTATCAAAAGATGATTTCGAAAATCATATAGATCTTACAAAAAGTATATAATATATATATATATATAATAATTCTAAGAAAATCCCTACCCAAGTTTTGAAGAAGAAATTGAGATGAAACCCCAAAATCAACGGTGTCGAAACTCGATCTTTCACCGCCACACAACGAAGCCCTCAAGATGATAACCCACTTTGATGAGGAAGCAATGGCAAAACTCAAATGGATCTTGACAAATCAAGGTTTTTGATCTAGTTTGTGTAGAGAAATGTAGAAGAGAAGGAGAGGAGATGTTTTTAGAGAGAGAGAGGTATAACAAAAGTTGATTTGAAATATCAGATTCACGAAGTTGAATATACATGGTCCGCTTAAGCCGTGGAAAGTCCCGCTCGGAGCGTTGAATACACTTTCCCGTACTTTTGTAGATAGGTCAAACTTCTGGAACCAAACATTCTCCGCTTCAGCGCAATAAACGGCCGCTTGAGTTGACAAGCAACTTTGAATGCATTTTGGCATTTTTCTTCGGGGCGCTTGCCCCTCGACCTCGCCCAAGATGTTGCCCTCGGACTGACCTGCAAGGGGCGTTTGCTCCCTGGACCCCGGCGAGCTGATTGGGCAAGCTCGATCCCCGACATAGTCAACGAAGTGGCAAACACATGAAAGATACGCTACAACTCGATACAAACATGAATACATTACCTGTTCCAAAAACAACCGCTACAACCGATAACCAAAATAAGGGGAATACAGGGAACTAAGATATGCAACACCGTTCAAAACCATTACCAATCCGAGCTCGGAACACCACAAAGAGACGGGTCAAAACCGGATCGCTACAACTTCTGCCTATTTTTTCATGTGAGCTTTCTTTTTGGCTTCTTCTGTTATGTGAGCTTTACTTGGCTTTATCTTTCCATGAGACTTGTCCAAAGGATCTTACCTTTTCAAACTTGATTTATCATGTGAACTTCTGCCTATTTTTCATAAATGCAGAGGTCCATGTCTTGTATTGATTTAATATGAATTTGGGCTCCTTTAAAGTTTTAATGGATTTTTGTAAGTAAATTATCTTCTT